AGGATTAAATAATAGAAAGCTTTCAATCAGATAAGAAAAACCATTATTTCAATCTATGATCCTGCTTTAAAACAAAAACGCATAGATTCGATGGATTCAATTAGATTTACTGCAATAATTTTCAGAAGAGGAAAACAAGGATTATGATTCATACCGATTGAAATGAAAATTCTACATTTTACTAATTGACAGTCTTGAACTTACTGAGAGACGGTATCCTCTGGTTTATGATTTTGATATAGTACTAAACGAAAAAGATACAAATAATGTCGACTCATCCTAGTGTGTTAGACATTGATGCGATGGCTTTAGCTAAACAGCTAATTGAGTTACTCAGTGGAATGAACAATATTGAAAGCTTCTATTGTATTTAGTTTTCTTGATTTACATGGCAACTTCTGTTCCAACGATTGATGGCCTTCAGACGAACATCAACAATCAGCATCTCAAAATTTTTTCTCTAATCTGGCTCGATGCCAACACAACCGTTGAAGGGAATCGAAATACAGAACAAAGATTGTATGCTATCACTAATTGTCTTATAAAATTTCAAGATGTAACAAAATGTCAAGAATATATTGAAAAACAATCACAGAAAGCTCGACTAATAATGATCGTTAGTGGTCAGTTAGGACGAGAAATAATTCCATCTATTCATGAGCTTCAACAAGTTATATCAATTTATGTGTACTGCATAGACAAAAAAGGTCATGAACAATGGGCTCGCAACTTTGCAAAAGTAAAATAAAGATGATGGATTTTGATTTCGTTTTATGATTTTGTTTGTTGTTTATAGGTAAAAGCAATTATCCTTGATCTTAATGAGCTTATCTCTCGAATTGAAACTGATCATAGAATGCAGAAAACCATAGAAGAACCATTGTCAATTAATATTTTTACTATAAGTTCTAAGACAGGTACATCAACAATGGGTACGTCAACGATTGGTGTAAATGGTCAGTTTGTTTTCTCTCAAGTCTTGATTGATTGTCTTCAGCGGCTAGATTTCAATCAAACTGATAAAGAAGAGCTTATTCATCTTTGTAAACAGGAATATAAAGAGAGCGATATAGAATTGGGCTATATTGATGAATTCAAAAACAGTTATTTATCTGACCAAGCCTTGTGGTGGTACACAAGACAGTCATTCTTCTACAAAACTCTCAATGCTGCTCTACGTAAGCAAGATATTCATTTAATTTTTTTATTTCGTGAAATTATTACGCATATGTGTTGTCGATTGAAAAATAATCAAGTTAAAGATTCTTTACAACTTTATCGAGGCCAGATGATGTCAAGTGATGAATTGAAAACTTTGAAACAATGCCTTAATCAGTTTATTTCGGTGAATTCATTTTTTTCCACCACCATGGACAAACAGAGAGCTCTTGCATTCCTCAACATTTCTAATATGACAGACAATTTAGAACCGGTATTGTTTGAAATCAACGCTGATCCTACAATGGCCACTACAAAGCCATTCGCTGATATCAGTCCATTCAGCCAATATCCGAGAGAAGCAGAAATACTTTTTATGCTTGGTTCTATTTTTCGTGTGAAAAGCATCCATCGCAGTGGCGATAGTCAAGTATGGATTATCCGAATGGTTTTATGTAGTGATAATGAACATGAATTAAAACATGTTCTCATGGATATGAAACGGCAATTTGGAAGTGGAAAAACAGATCTTCGAACATTAGGAAGACTACTATCGGAGATGAATAAACCAGATTTAGCTGAAAAATATTTTATACGCTTATTAGAGCAACTTCCACCCAATGATCCTTTACTTGATGATTTGTATCAGGATCTTGCTAAATTCGCATCACAAGCCGGTAACCTTGACAAGAGTATGGAATGGCGTAAAAAAGCTATTGCGCTGCAACAACAAAATGAGTTAGCAGGTAAGCAATTCTATTATTAACGTCATCAAAAGCAACTCTA